CTGGGGCCCCGCAGCGGGACGCCCGGAGGAGCTGGCCTGCCGCTCACACACACGCCAGGCCCCGGCGGAGGAAGCGCTGGCGTGGGCAGACCTTAAGCCATGGATGGTGGAAGCCAGCGATTAAGGTGCTCCTGCCCCTCGGGAGGACGATTCTGGGATGCATTCTGCCCTCAGCTCGGATGGTCCCAGTGGAAATGAGGTCCCCTGGCCACAGCAAAATCAACGCTCCTTGATTTTGGCCATCCCCACTGTCCTGTTCCCCATCCGTGTTTGCTGGTCAAGGGCCCTTGACTCGGGCTCCGCTTTCTGGGGACTCAGGTTACCAGGCCACCTGAGCCTCTGGGCTAGAAACCGTCTGCGGGGGTCAGCACCCCTCTCTGGCCCCCTCTGCAGCCCCCGGTGTTGCATGGGCCGGAAGACCAAAGCCTGCCTTTCCCAGACACCCTTGCTGCTGGGGATCTGGGCACAGCACTGGCTCAGCCAGATCCTTCAGGAGAGGGGTGAGAGGCACAGAGAGGTGGGGGCCCTCCTTCTTGCAGCGTGGCTGGTGGCCGGCGGGTGGGACCTGGCACACACAGGTTTTTGCAGCAGTGGACACCGTGCTCCTTCCACGTCCCTGTCACCAGCTCAGTGGATGTGCCACTGGGACGCTGACACAAACTCCCCGCCCGGTGACGGCTGGGGGGTTGAGACCACGAAGTGCAGACGTGCGCCCTGCCTCCCTCTCCCCCAGATCCTCCCACACTCAGGTCCCGACTCGACACTTCCTTCTGCACGGAGTCCCTAGTGTGTCCTCTCTCCCGCGCTGACCCATGGCGGGTGCGGCGCCCTCCCCTCTGCCACGCACCACACCGCCAGGCTCCGGGGGAAGGGATCGGAAAGGCCACCCAGTTACCCAAAAAGGCACCCGAGAAAAGACCGGGGGTCCGACTGCTGGTCGCCTACTCAACAGCTTTCTTCCGCAGCAGATGGGCTTCCCTTCTGGAAGCTGGGTCCGATCTTGCTGGGGGACGTGCCCACGTCCCGGCCCTGGCCCCTGAAGAGAGTGTACAGAAGGTGGCCCCTGGGATACAGCCTGTCCTCCCGATAAAAGGAGACACACAGGAAACGTTCTCCTCCCAGCCAGGGGATGGGATTCCGTGAGAACATGATGCTTGGGGCGGGGGGCAGCGACGGCCACCTTGAAGTCACAAGGTGACAAGTCTGTGGACAAGAACCAACATACGGAAGAGCGCAGAGTGGACACACGGAAAACGCCTGGGTCTCTGGGGACGTCATTGAGCTGCTGAGTTAACCCTGGAGCTGCCTGCTTTTGGTAGGCGTCGCCCCCGAGGGCCCCTGTCCCTCTGAGCCTCGTGGAGGCCAGTTCTGAGCGCTTCCGAGCCCTCTGCGGGCCCACGTGCTGGGGCTCGGGGGCTGGGCCCTGTGCAGCTGAGCAAGGGAGGCCTTGGGTGTGAAAGTTAGGGAGGTGGCCCACACTCGGCCATCAGGATAAATTGTGTTAAGAAAATCAAATCAAATGCAAAAATACACAATTAACAAAGTATGCAGATTTTTAAAATAAAGAGACTCAAGACTCAGTGTTCCCACCTGGGTCTACTCTACTTGTGTGTCCACACAGGCAGGGCACACCCAGGGACTCCCCCTGGTGATGGTCCGCCTCCTGAAGCAAGGGCTCTGGGGTTCTGGGGACTGGGGTCAAGGCCAGGGGCCACCAACGACTTGCTGGGGATCCAAGCAAGCCCCTTCCCTTCTCTCTGGACCTGGGTTACCCCGTCCCGCACGGGGTGGGGGGGGGTTTGGGGGCGTGGCCAGGGTGGCCCGTCCTCCTCATCCCCACGGCCTTCTGAGGTTCCTGCCCCTGGTCCTGGGAGGCTGCGTTTCCAGGGCCGCTGACTCCTGGCTATTAATATCTCGGCCATCCCTGGCCCGATTGGGGCGCTTAATGACTGCCAGCTGTGGCTCCGGCCCTCTCCCCCGGGGGAGATAAGAGCAGTTCCTGTTCCCACATGGGGGGGTGGCGGGGAGGGAGGCAGGGTCATTGCTCATTCAAACAGGCTCTGGGTGAGTGGTGGGAATGGAGGGGCCGACACTTGACCGTCCTCATCGCACCCTGGCCCATCACACTAGATGGCGGTGCCTGGGGATGGACGCCCTGTGCACCCCTCCCCCACAGGGCTGCTTGGTCTCCCCACCTGGGGCCTTTCTCAGCTGCCAGGGGAGCCTGCCCCAAGCCCGCCCGCATCCTCTTGGCCTCATGGGAGACACCTCCACTGGGTTCCTGCTGCAAAGGGCCCCCGGCACCTGCTTACCTGGATTCAGGTGCCCCTGGTACCCGTAAGCTCCCTTGGGACCCAGAGGCCACCCCAATGTCGCCTCACCTGGACGCTGCTCCCAGGACACTGTGCTGGCAGACTGGAGGCACCCTGCCCCTGGGCAGCCCCTGCCCTGGGGTGGCGGGAGCCGTCCGCGTGTCGGCCCCTGCCACCAAGGCGATGGTGGCCCTCTGCGCCGGGATGCTGCAGGAGGGCTCCTTGGCGTTGTCTTCCCAGGAAGTGACCACCTGAGTTAACTGGTCTTTGCCTTTAAGAACTGGGGTCAGGGCTTGGCCAAGGGCGAGGGCCTAGACCGTGACCAACCACAGAGACCTGGCTCTACCTGGGGCCCAGCCAGGTCTGGGCCAGGGATCACTCTGTGCCACTGTGGTCAGGGGCCTGGGCCTGAAGCCCAGCTCTGAGTGTCCTTAATCCCGGGGGCCACCAGTCCTGTGGCCTCACCACCTCCCTCCTCTTCCGTCTTACTCTGAAATGGAGTGGAGGAGAGTGTTTGGGGCCCTGAGGCCAACCTTGGTGAAGCCCTTCAGGTACCCACCAGGTGGCGATAGAGATGAGCTGGTCTTGCCCTGCGAGGCAGCTGGTGCTGGGGGGAAGAGGGGGTGCAGGTGAAATTCATTTTGTGGTCACCCCACTCCCCCCACTGACTTCACAGGCAGCTGGGATAGCTGTCTGGGCCTCTGCTGGCCCGTGGTGGTGTTTCAGCGTCTCCCTATTCCTGAATGCCCACTCCTGGACGGTTCACGCCTGCTACCTCTCGGGGTGGGGCCCCACCCGTGCCCCATTGTTTGCCCCTGTCTTGGGTTTCTCTGTGTTTCGTTCACTTTCCACCTTCCTGGCTGATAACTCTGCTCCTCTTCCCAGGGCTCTCTCCTCACCCTAAAGCCCTGACTCACTAAGGTGGGATTTCAAGCCCTGGATAGGTTGGGTCTAGCTTAGTCTGGGGGCCCCTCTGAATCTTTACAGCCCTCCGGCAGCCCGAGCAATTCCTGATCTGGAAGGCGGGGTGCTGCCTGCCCTTCCCTCTGCGGATACTTTGCTTCTGGGCCCTGTTGGCTGCTCCCATTTCTCCCCTTCCTCTCCCTGTCATCTACCAGCCTGAGCTCACCCCTCAGTTCTCTGACCTTCTCAGCATGACCTCCATCTCCTGTGTGCCTTTGGCCCCGAGATGCCTGGAGTTCCCCTCCAGCTGCTGTGTTTCCCAGGAGCCCAGAGAGGACAGAGCAAGTGGCAGAGGGCTCTGGGCAGCCTCCTCCTCATCGGCCAAGCAAGCCTTAGCCAGGAGCTAGGCTAAGCCATCCAGCCCTTCCCCTACTGTGCAGGTGGAAAGGCTGAGGTTCAGAGAGCGGCGGGGACCTACTCGTTGTCTTTGAGAAAGTCTGACACGGAGTGAGGACCAAAAGACGAGGGCTAGGTCTTCCGGACCTCACTGAGCAGCAGGGGGAGGGTGGGCAAGGTTTCTGGAGCCGGTTCAGGGGTCCCTGAGTGGGGAGGGGCAGAAGAGAAACCAGAGAGGCTGAGCGACATGCCCCAGCTGGGCGAGGGGAGCGTGGACTCACCGCCAGTTCCCCATCTCCCATCCCTCGTGCCTTGGACCAGGAGGGAGGCGAGACTCGAGACTCGCAGGGAAGAGTGGAACGAACTCCCGGTGTCCCAAATGCCCTAGCTCTCCCCCACTAGCCCCTCACTGGTTGGCCTAGCAGGGGGAGGGGAGGGAGGGGGCTGCGAGTTCTCTCTCCAGCAGGCCAGGCAGTGACCCCCCAAGTCAAAGCCAGGGCGCTGCCTCCTTCTCTGTCCTACAGCTGACGACGTGCACAGGGCAGGCATGGAGAGTGGTTCTACGTGGAGAGGGGTTGTCACCCCTGGACACGCAGGACCTTGGATTACATAGGCCTGGGGCCGCCCCTGCTCAGGGTTCATGGGCACTGTTATCCTGGCGAACCCTGGCTCGGGCCTCCGCAGGGCGCTGGGCTGCAGCCCAAGGCTTCGAAGGAGCCTTGCAGCCAGCCCGTTCCGGCCTCTTGTCACCAGCCTGTCGTCCCTCTCCTGCTCCTGCAGCAAGACGACCTCCTTGCAAGTGTGCAGGATGTGGAAGCCAAGGAGGTTGGCTTGGGCAATGGCTTTGGGGACACCTCTTGCTGGCTGACGTCATCTACTTGTCCCTCCTGCCTCTCTGCCTACCCCTTTCTGTTAACGGTGTTGTCTCTGCTCACTCATTCGGGTGACATTTGTTCTGTCCTCTTCCTCTCGGCTGAACCCTGGCAATGGCGACATGGTCCCCTCACAGCCCGAGGGCTCCTTGTCGGTAGGAATGACCGCGGCCTGTGACATGCTCACACGTGACCGTTTCTGGGACCTTGGGCAGGTCTGCTGGCTGTTTTGTACAGACCGAAGAATAGCCCTGTCTCTCGTCGGCAGGATTTAGGTGGGGGGACACAATGGGGACCTGGTGTAACTTTTTCACACCCAGAAGAAAGAAGCTACCCCTCAGTGAGATGTCAGGTGGAGACCCTTAGGACTCTGCCTTCTCACCTGGAATGTATTCCCGTCCAAAGCCAGAGGGGTGGCTTCAGTGCACCCCTCCTGTGAAGGGGGGGAGATGGTCACAAGTGGGAAGCCAGTCCCCATCGTAGGCCACACCGGAACATCAACCACCAGGCAAACCAAGCCAATCCGACACAATGTTTATTGCTGTGCAAGCATGGGTCTTCTGGCTGGGCTGTGGGCAGGAAGCCTTGACCTCAGGGTGCAGGGCAGACACACGGTGCCGTGACCCCCAGGTGCTTGGCTGTATGGTGCATGGCCCACAGGACTCCCCGGCCACACTGCAGGGAGGGTCGGTGGGAATGGGGCTGCAGGGCCAGGGGTAGTGACAACCAGCGGTGATACAAATAACCAAGAGGACCCAGCGTGTTACAAGATATAAAAACAGCAGTAAAAAGTCTGTGTGCTCACTTGCCCATCAGCCAGGGTTGAGTGCGAATCCTGCTGTGAGACAAGACCAGGTACTGCTCTCTGGGAGACTCCGGTTCCTGATCTGTGGAGGAGGGGTAGCAGTTCCCGCCCTGCTGGGCTGGCGGGGCACCGCAGGGCCTGCGAGTGCGCATCTCTGAGCCTAGCTCCCACAGTGGGCACCATGGGTGGGAAGCCAAGCGCATGGGTGGCTTTGGTGGCAGTCTCCTCGAATTGTTCCAAACTTCCTGGGACCACTCCACTTCAGTAGGGACTCTGAAGGGAGCTGTGCTCCCCAAACTAGAACTCCTTTTCACAAGCATTGGCCTCAGGCAGCAGCAGGAGCCGGAGCGGTGGGCAGCTAGGAAGACACTGCGGAGGGGACCGTGTCTTCAGAGAGATGCCCCAACGGCAATGCTCAACCCGAAGGGACTTGACAGCAAGGTTGGGACTCGGGGCACTGCTGAGGTGGTGGTGCTGCGACACGTTTCCAGGGCCAGACCTTCGTCAATCGTATTATTTGGGGGTGGGTGGTTGCCTTCCTCAATAGGTCATGAGAGGGGGTGGAGTTCCTTAAGAGTATGCAAATTTCTTGCCGTTGATTGGCAGAGAGGGCTTTTGTGGGAGGAGTCTGATGGCTGCGCTCCACCCCACGTCTCTCAGGGCTCTTGCTCACTTAGTGGCTCCAGGTCTAAGCACCGTAGTCTCCCGACGCAGGCGCAAGAGCAGCATTCTCCAGGGGCTTCTGGACAGTGACCTGGGAGCCAGGGCAGCCTCTGAGCCCAGGGCTGGGACTGGCTTTGCCCCGGTAGGCCTCTGTCCCCAGGGTGCCGCCCCGGGTGGGTAGGTGCGGGCGGGCGGGGCCTCCCTGGGCCCCCGGGAGCCTGGCAGTCAGACTAGGGAGTCCTCCGCCTGGAAGCTGGAGCAGCGGCGCGCGCTGGGGCTGACGCGGGTCAGCAAGGAGACTTGGGTGCTGCACGTGGCCCCGCTGCCGCCTCCTGGGGGGTACTGGTATTTGGGGCCCCAGCCCAAGATGCCCTGTAAGTTCCAGCGCCGCCACTTCCGCCGAAGCTCTGCCTGCACCTGGGAGAAAGGAGGGTGGTCACACCTACAAAGGCTTTTCCACTGCTGATTGGGCTGTTCTCCAGTTAGCGGTCCAGTCACGTGCTCTTGGGGAGTCTACACTGAGAGACCTGGATGCTCCCTTGGCTGGGAGCAGAGTTAGGATACTAGGGGCCAGGGTCAAATCAAGGCCTTGGAGCGTGGGGGGTGGGGGAGGCAGAGAAGATCGCAGAATGAGACATGCTGCCTGGGGGTGGCTGCACCCCCATTCTCCTGACCCTGCCCTCCAGGAGCTCACTGAGCTCATCCAAGCGGGCTTCTGGGCTTTGTAACCAGGGCTGCGCGGGCACTCGGCCTTCACTGGGTGGCCCCATTGGTCCCCACTCCCTCTGCACACAGCAGCCACTGAACGGGCACTTCTCGGACTCCCAGGGGACGCCAGTCTGCTGGGGGGTGGGGTGGGGGTCAGTCAAAATGCAGATTCCAAGTCAGCAGGCCTGGCGTGGGCCAAGAAACCGACATCCTTAACTAGGTCTCAGATACCACCACTGACTTCCTCCTCCGAGGACCACACGGGGAGCACCAAGGTCGCACCGATCCTCACTCTGCTCATATCCCATCAGCCTCTGGGCCCCGGGGTCTTGGAGGGGCTTACCTCACCATTGAGGAAGCAGTAGAGGACAGCCACCACGAAACCCTGATGAGGAAAGGGGTGGGGGAGTTGAGGCAGACACACCGCAGGAGCCCCCCACCTCTGGCCCCAGCCCCCGGTTCCCCTGGGTAAGCACAGGGCTACCGAGTCCACAGCAGGTGCTGCATCAATACTCATTCCAGTCCAGTGACTGCGATCCCGCGGCCGGAGGCCAAGGCCCCAGGCTGAATTCCCTTAAAGCCCCTAGAAGAGCGCAGCCTTCAGCCAACAATCCGTACCTGGAAAGACCCCACGACGAGCTCGAAGACCAGTTTCACTTCCGACTTGAAGTTGTCGGGGAAGAAGGCGAACATGGTGTAGTGCACTCCGAACAGGGGGATCAGCAGGAGGGTGGACTTGGCCAGCCTCCTGGGGGTGGGGGTGGGGGGGGCAGACAGTGGGTTGGCGTGTCCGCACACGTGGACACGATAGGGCCTGGTGCGGGGGCGGCTGAAGCACGGAACATGGGGACAACGACCAGGATGTGTGGGGACGAACTTTTGGCCCCGGTGACGAGTGCGTCCGCAGCTGGCCCCGTTGCGCATCTGCAGAGCCCACGCCCTCATGCCGCCCAGCCTTCCCCGCCCGGAGGGAAGCACAAGGGGGAAGGAAAGCCCTCTACTCTCAGCCTTCTGGGAGGGAGAGCATAAAGGGGCCAGGGCTGAACTTGGAGGATGATGCATAGTCGTGGTGTTTCCGGCTCTGTGGCGGCCAACGGGGAGATGTTCTCAGGCCACATGTGCTCCCGCTCCCCCTTGCCTGGTCTCGGTTTCCCCATGCTCTATGCGGTCTCGTTACAGAAAGGGGACCCACTGCAAACTCTGAAGTGCCCTGGGCACTGTCAGGCACGATGAATCCAGAAGTGACCAAGTCTCTACGGGAGGGGCCTGATGAGTGGGAGGGGCCTGGTGAGTGGGAGGGGCCCAACGAGTGGGCAGGGCCTGGTGAGTGGGAGGGGCCTCTGTGCTTCCGTCTCCTGCCTTGGCAGTCAGTCCCGGGAAGCTCCGGCGGAGGTCCCACAGAAAACTGGGGCAGGGAAACTGGCCTTGCTTGCCTCTCTCATCCCTTCCTCGACCTGGTTCTCAGCCGTGCCAAGATCCGGAGTACCGCCCACCCCTCCTTGGCTGCAAACCTATCGCACGCGCCGAGGCTGGCAGATGGAAGTTTTCTTTAAATTGAAGCCTTTGGGGGAGGTGGAGAGTGGGAGCTGACAGCCCCTCCTCGGGAAGCTCCGTCTCCCCTCCCCCCGCCCCACCTACCAACAGCTGTTCAGTTGCCATCTCACTCACGTGGACCTGGCAATGACCGGCTCTCTCTGCCTCAAGATTCAAGCCCTTTTGAGCAGTTGAATGTGGAAGGGGAAAAACAAGGCCCCACGGGCCAAGGAGAGGACGAGAGGACACAGGCCCGAGGTGCTACCCATCTCTTGGCACACTGCACACCTCTGCAGGGCCTTCCCTGCGGAGACTGGGAGAAAAGCCCGCCTACACGCCCAGCGGGAGGGAATGCCATCACTCCAGGAGCGCCAGTCTTAGTCTCCTCGGAGAGGTCACGGGATCCCAGAATAGCATCCTAACTCCGGAAACGCCTGGCATTTTAGCCAGGCACCTTAAAACCACGGTGCCGACTCCCCCAAGAGAACCCAAGCCAAGAAGAACATTCTAGAATCCCAGGACTAGAAGGTCCTTGTGGGATTCCCCGGCTTGTCTTGTCTGTGCCGCACTGGTGACCTGTTCCCATCTGTGGGCGTGCAGACTCCTGCTCACCGCCCTCAGCTCTTCTAGTTTCTTTTGTTCTGTCCCCAACCCCATTGTTCTCGTGAGAACCTGCCTGTTTCTCCAGTCCTCCCAAGCACGGGGAAGAACCCTCACACCTTTCTAAGCCCGGAGCATGACCGCTGTCCCATGGACCCTGTGTTCCCTCCCGTCCCTGTCATGTGACATACTCCCAAACCCTTGAGTGGAGGGAGTGCGTGTCAGCTTCCTTCCCTGTAAGATAAGGACGATTTGGGGGGACTGTGGGGATGAAATGAGAGGACGATGGATGGATGGAAACCCAAGCACATGCCTAGCATGTGAGCTGCAGGTGCTGTTACTCTTCCTGGGGACTGCTGAGCCCTGAATACGGCTGTCGTGTTGATGGGCTGGGGGCTTCCCCAGGGCATTCATCCCTTGCATTTATTGTCCCTTTTCTGTGCCAGGCGCATGCCAGGGCCTGGGCACACAGTGTGAACAAGACACGGGTTATCTACTGTTTTCTCAAGCTCCCTGGCTTGGCCGCAGGTTCACACCTGGATCAGATCACACACTAGGAAAGGTGACTGCAGGAGAGGCAGACACGGGACTCGTGTGGGGCTGCTGGAGGGGACGCTCGAGGACTGGCCAGGCCATGGGGCGGCGGTGGGCAAGGGCACGCGGGACGATTTGAGGACCAGGGACGGGGGTACCGGGACAGCCAGGGCCACTGGGGGCACACTCACGAGTAGGGGCTTTTTTCACTCTTCCTCACGTCTGGGGGCTGCAGTTTCTGCACCAGGATTCGGATGATGAGAACAAACATGATGAAGTTCACCTGGTGGGTGGGGAGGCGCAAGGTTGAGCAGCGAGAGAGGGAAGGCCAGGGTGTCCAGCCCCCTGGGCTGATGGCCTGCTTTGTCCCCTAGGCCCCTGCCACCCCTCCATTTTCACTGTCCTCTAGTTTTTCCCCTCTGGGCGAGTCATCTGGGAACTCTACTTCCCATCCCTGAGGCCAGGGCCTCCAGGGCCTCCCAGGCCAGCTTCTCCACTCAAGAGGAAGAACTGGGGGCGGGGAACGGACGGGGACGCTCCCGCATTAGGCATTGGGAAGTCTAGATTTTAGTTCTGACCTAGACGTGAATTCCCTGCGCACAACCTGACGACCCAATCCGGGCCTCAGTTTCCCCATCTCTGAGTGCTGGGAGGAGGCCTTACCAAGATGGATGTGAGGATGGGTGCCTTTAGGATCCACCACAGCAGCGAGGAGTCGATGGTGTCCCAGCATCTGGGCAGAGGCGGGAGGGGAGGAGGAGAGAGGCGGTCCTCAGCTGCAGAGACAGTCGGCGGCTCTCCCCGTTGTCCCCTGCTCTGCCCCTAGCCCCTTTAGAAGCCTTGGGCCCCGACTCTGTTGCTCCCAAGTCCCTCTTAGCCCACGCAGGGGGTCAGCCCCAAGCGATGGCAGCCAGGAGGAGGGGGCAGGGTGACAGCTCACCCATAATCCTCAAAATGGATCTTGGTGATGGTCCACGCCATGATGAATATGCTGGGCACCCCTGTGAGGGCCAAGGGAGCGAGAAAGAGGAGAGGGCATGGGAGGCAGGGAGAGGGCGTGGGGGAGGGATTAGGGAGGAAGAAGCAGAGAGGGAGGGAGAGAGCACAGGGTGGATTACCAGGGTGGCCCGTGGGGTTGCGTAGGTTGTTCCCTGTGCCCCACGGAGGGGCTGAATCTGTTGCCCGAGGGGCTGTGCCCACCTAAGGGGAGAGTCTGTTTCTAATTTTGGCAGAGGCACTCCATAGACCGGCAGTGGTTCTGTGTATTTCAAGGGCTGTAGGGGAAGTGGAAAGATATGCATAGAACCTGCCGGTCCCACAGTTCAGTCCCGAGGGTGCCTGCCCTGGGTCTTTAATCACCACCCCCCCTCTACACACACATTTGGGGAATGTTAATTGCCCCTTGGCTAGAGCATTGCAGGCCTGACCTACAGCCCACCAAGACCTAAGACTGCGGGCTGGGCTGGCACCTGCCCCCTAGTGAGCCCCCGCCCCGGGCCTTGCTCCCTCTGTCCCCAGCCTGGCGGCCCTCCCCAGTACCATACCCCAGCCGATGAGTATGTACCCCCAGAAGTACTTCCGCTCGGAGAAGAAGGAGACTGCGAGCAGGGTGTACAGGTAGAGGCCCTCTACCAGCAGCCAGAAGTAGTTGGCCATGACACAGTACTGGAACAAGACCACGACCGCCTTACAGCCCACCTGCTGGGGAGGGGACAGATTGCTAGCAGGGGTCCTCGCCTGCCCACGTCTCTGTCTGGGGCGACAGAGCTCCAGCTGCTGTAGAGCCAACTTAATCTTTGTTATTTTTGCTCGTTATCCCTTCAAAAATGCACGCAGTGCTTTTCCAATGATCCCTAATTTGAGATCATATGATGCGTTGGAAAAAGCTTGTGGTTTTCACGATCCATCTATCAATTTACCATCTTCTTATTTATGTAATTGCCCGCCCACCTAAGCACCCAACCATCCATCTTCCTCCCTATTTATCTATTTATTCACCCGCTCACCCACTAGACGTCCGCTGCCAGCTCACCCATGTATGTATCCACATGCCGTCTGTCATCCACTCATCTTCCCGCCCCTCCCCTCCGCCCATCCACACACTCACCTGTCTGTCTCCCCATTCACCTACCTATCCACCTCTAGGTAGGTGAATAGGTGTCTAGTAGGTACTGGACATCTACTACCGATTCACACACCTCACCCTCTGCCTATCCATCCATCCACCTGTCTACCCACCCACCCCTCTGCCCATCATCTAGCCAGTGTTTCTTCCTTCATCCATCTAGCCTTCCGCCTACTTAGCCATCCACACACTGTTTACTCAGCCATCCCTCTTCCTACCCCCCCATCCACTTGACCCACCCCCACCCCCCCACCCACTCATTCACCTTGCTTGCATTCGCAAGAGTGTGAATGAAGGTGTGGGGGTGTGGGTGTGGGTGTGGGCTGTGGAGTGGGTCCACATGCAAGTGTTGAGGAGGAATGGGAACCGAGAAGAGGGAAGTGGGGAGGAAGGAGAAAAGAGGGAAGAATGGACAAGGGAGGGCTGGCCGTTCCTCCTGGGGGCCAGAGGGGCTGGTGAAAGAATGAGTCCTGCAGGTGGGCGGGGGCAGTGGAGGAGTTATGGGCGACCCCGGAGTAGGGTGATGGGGGAATCCGGGTTGATTAGAAGGTCTTCTGCGCTCTCCTAGGAACAGTTTCCCCTTTCGGATCAAGCCCAGACACCTGCGAGCCAGAGCTTAAAGCTACCTCCTCTGGGAAGCCCTCTAGCACTCCCAGAACATGGGTCCCACCCTTCCTTCCTGTGCCCTTGGCTTTGAGACATCCTCGGAGAGCAGGCTGCCTTCCTCTCCCCATGGCTGGGAAGCCCTCCTTCAGGCCTCACGCCAGTCCTTCCTGCGACGGGCGTGCCTGCTTCTCCCAGCCTCCCACACTTGCTTTGCAACAATAACTCGGCTTTTGAACAGGACGGTTCTGTGCGCTTCTCCCAGCCTTCGAAAAGCTTCATGGAACTGGGAAGCCAGCCTCGCAATGACCCCTGACAAGCCTGCTGGAGGCTGCACACGGCTCCCCGGGCTCTGCGCTGACCCTGCGTGTGTCCGGATCCTCTGAGGAGCTCTGGGCACGGCCGGCGTGGCTCCCCTGGGCTTTCCCTTCCTCTTTGTGCCTGAGACTGCGCCATCATGGGTGAACTCTCTGGGGGGAAGGCGCTGCTGACCCCGGAAACTAGGCCCTGCCCCTGCGGTACCCCCGGCCGTTCAGGAGTGAGTGGGAGCTGGGGCTGGTCTCCAGCTCCATCCTGGCTGGGGGACACTCAGGGAGGGGGCCCTGAGCTCAGAATCACCTGGAGACAGACCCCTCAGTGACAGCAGTGAATTCTTAGACGCTGTCTTGGTTTCCGTTCTCAAAGATGCCCCTGCGCTTACTGACAGTGGGGGAGACCAGAGGAGGAGGGCTGTGCGCCTGAACTGGCTCCACAAGGCGAGGGGGTGGGGGGGAAGGGTGGCATGGTGAGCAGAGCCTGGGCGTGCAGGTGGCAGAGGGCAGAGTTGAAAGCACGCTTGGAAGTCCTTGCCCAGATGGGGAAACTGAGGCAAGGAGTTCCTAAGGTCACACGGGGAGCTAGCAACCGAGCTGGGATGGGGACTGCGGGCTCCAGTTATGAAGTGCCCCGTTTCCCGCCAGCATGGGATGTTTCTCCCCGGCAGGGGCAGGTCAGCGAACCCCCAGGCGGCTGAGCACCCTCTCCTGTTGTGGGGAGTGGAGTGGGATTCCAGGAGCTGCCAGGTGGGGTTGTGGGGGTAGGGGCTGGCCATCCTTGGAGAGAGAAAGAGGAAGAAGGAAAGAGAGAGAGGAAGAAGGAGGGGGAGGAGGAGAATCCTTTTCAGTGAGAGGAGGTGAAGGGGAGACGGGGCACCTGGCAGGTCCTCACCGGGGCCACAGGGCAGCTGTCCGAGTGGCCGCTGTCGAAGAGGGTCAGGTCCTTGACGAGGACGGAGACGGCCCTCAGGATGAAGGACAGGAAGAGGTGCAGGTGGATGTAGTTCCGCGTGCAGTGGAGCTTCCTGGGTGGGGCGGGCAGAGTGGGGAGGCTGAAGGGGCCCAGACGCCACCCCCGACCCCACCAACCAACACTGTCCAGTCCTCGGTGCAGGGGTAGGGCGGAGGGAGCATGTGGCTCTGAGTGCTGACCCTGCCCCAGAGGTCTCCCCTCCCTGACCACCGTGTGTAGCTGGGCCTCCGGGTGCCTCAGTCCAGCGCACAGGCCCCACCCTTTGGTACCCTGTGCCGGGGTGCAAGGCCGTCCTGTGGGGGACAGGGTACACTGAGCCTAGCCTCGTCCCTAGGCGGGGCTGGCCAGGCAGGGCGGCCAGGGCAGGCCCATGTGCTGCCTGGGGGACGACAGAGGAGGGGCCGGGCATGCCTGGGCCGGGCTGGGCTCAGGCGCCGAGTGACCTGGCTGGGTTTGCTCTGAGGCTTGTTGCCGGGGCCGGATCTCACCTGAACAGGCTCAAGATGGCGGTGGCGATGAGCAGGGTGGCGAGGGACAGGCTGTGGCCGATGGTGTAGCCGGTCTTTATGGAGCTGTAGAACAGCTGCTGCTGTTGGAGGAAGCGAGGTGAGGATCTTGGGGGGCGTGGGGCGTGAACTCACCTAGGGGCCTTGGCAGAGGAGGAGGCCGATGCCCAGGGCTCCCAAGGGCAGCGGAGCTGCTCCCTTGAGGACCCGGACCCCCTGACTCCCCAGGTTCCGCAGAGGGGACAGGACTGCCTCCCAGGGTGGGGGCTGAATTCAACCCCTCTCTCTCCTCCTTCACAGGAAAAGTCACTGAGGCAAAGAGCAAACCCCTCACGGGGTCCACCTATCCACGCACGCTGCAGCCACATGTCCGGCACCCCCAGTGCCCGGCAGCCTGGGGAACCGGGACCGCTCGCCCTTTAGACCCCCACGTGGGGACACACAGGGATGGGGGAGGGGAAGAAGACACTGCAGGGGGGGGACACATCACACTGGGGGTCTCGGGGGCTGGGTCAGCAGGATGAGGGGCAGTCGGCCTTTCAGGGGAGGTAGGGCAAGCTGGTCCCGAAGGCTTCTCACCAGCGCTCTCCTGACGTCCTCCCCAGGGCGACACGTGCAGAGTAATGGTCACAGTGCCACCCCCACCCCAAGAGAGGCAAGAAGTTAAGAGGGATGCAGGAGACTGAGATCCTGCCTGCTCTGAGGATCCCCGAGGAGAGTCCTCCCTCTTGGGGAGGAGTGGAAGCCCTGTCTGGGAAGGTGTCTGCGGGTGAGACAGATGTCACTGCAGACAGACAGACACACACCCGAGTGTTCCCGCAGCACGGCAGCCGGGGCTCCTAGCGGAGGACTCCAATCCACTGCAGCCTCCCCATCACCATGCCCGCCCGGCTCCTGGCCCCTCGTCCCGACCTGCTCTGGGGCAGACCCCTGTCCTGGGACTGAGACTGGCCATGCTGTCCCTGTCCCCGACTGACTGTTGGGCATCCGAGACTGGTTCCTTCCGGGACCTGCCCCTCGGGTTCCCCGCTGCACGTGACCGGGAAGACGGTGCCTGCCTGCCTGCCTTGTCACAGCCAGGGCTGGAGCCAGGTTCCCGCCAGGCAATGGGGTGGCCTGGCCAGGGGAGGAGGCTCAGCTCTTGCTGGTATGAGCCACCCTCAGAAAAAGACGCTCACATCAGGGGCAGCCAGGGGGTGCGTCCCCAGAAATTCAGGCCTGGAGTGGGAGAGGGCACGAGGAGGGAAGACCCCAGAAATCCTGGCTTCCACACAGATGGCGCCCCGCCCCCAACCTTGGCAGGAGAGAGCGGAAGGAGCCCGCAGGCGGGCCGAGGCACTCTGCTGGGCGCTGGGGTGCACTGCGGCCCACCTCGTCCAAACTCCACTCCTTGTCGTCCAAGGCACAGACCACGTCGTAGGGGCCGGGCTCCAGGTGTGCCCAGCCCTCGTCGGTGCAGCTGCGGCTCACGTTGCGGCCTGTGGAGGGCAGGGGCGGAGAGGGGCCGGGTTGAGGCCCGCAGCAGGGCGGGTCCATGGGGTAGGCATGGGGCCCGGCTGCCTCCAACCTCCGCCCGACTCCCACCGACCTCTGCTATGTCAGACCGACTCCAGCTGCCCCAACCTAGACCTCCAGGACCCCCCACAGGGGAACCCAGGGCCGGTAGGAGCCCCTCTGGGATTCCAGGGCACCCGCTAACACAGGCGACAGTCAGAGCAGCCAGTCCTGGGCTCTGCCATACCCCCTGTCGTGCCTGAGCCTGTCCCTACGTGCAACATAAACTCTGATCCTTGTGACTGAACACCCAGATCCTTGGCTATCTGAGTGATCCCTGACCCTTGTCACGGGGCCACGGGGGCAGGTTGGTGTGGCAGATGGTTTCTTTGTCCTGCGGGTCCAGGCAGCAGCCCTCTGGCTGGGGCAGCTGGGGGGTGGGGCGCCAGGCTTGCCCCCTCGTCTGGGGTTGGCCTGCCTGGACCTCTGGGCCTGGGTCTCCTCCCACACGCGGAGGGGCTCAGCGGTGCTTCTGGAGGGGCCAAAGGTGAGGCTGGGGGTGGGTGGGGGTAGAGAGACGCCCCATAACGCCACTTGTCTGTAATCCTCCTAAATGGAGAGGCGGGGGGCTCCCGGCAGGGGAGCCTGGCCAGGCAAAAAGGCGAGTGCGAGGGCCGCAGCACTGCGGGATCTTGGGTTCACACAGACTGCTGCGTGTTCTATGCAAAGTAGCCATCCTAAAAAAGGTCCCTTCAAATGTCTGCAGGTAAAGCCATCACAGATTAAAGGCATGCAGACCACACAGTCAAGGCCTCGGCCCCCAGGAACATTCTGGTGACTTCATGAGCGATCCCTCGCCCGGACCCCACCCCCCACCCCCCACCCCCCACCCCCACCCCCAGGTATATGTCCCCAGCCTAGGTAAATGACTTCTTTCTAACCCTCCACACTCTTTACCTTCCACAAGGTTCCTTCAGCTTTCACTGGAGAACCAGGTCCCTTCCAACCCCTCCAGGGAGGACGTGTCTTCCCCAGTCCTCGTGCCTAGGAGCTGGGGTTGGCCTCAGCCCTCCCCGGCGCGTCCCTTGCTCACCCGCTTCCCTCCTTGGAGTTTAAGGTCAGATGCTTGCACCTTGTCCTCTCATCGCCCAGGAAAATGTACCCTATTTCCTTCACATGTTCAGCCCCTAACCCTGTCTGCTATTCCTCTCCATCCCTGTGGGAGACTGGGGCCGCCAGCTGTAACTGTGCAGGCTGGTCACGGCTGGGGGGCCCCTGGTGATGGAGGAGGGGCTGGCTGGTAACTGCAGGTGCAGCTGGCCACTAGGCGGGTTCTGGAGAGAGGGTGACTCAGCCCGAGGAAGGGCTACCTTTTGCTTCTCTGAACAAAGACTCCGTGAGGGGGCCCCCCGCCTCCGCCCCCGCTGGCTGGGGTTAGTCAGAGGGTGGGCCGCAGGCCAGGTTCTCAAGTGAAGGAGCTGCCTTGGAGATTTCAGCGGGGCCAGAAGGAAGAGCCCCAGGAGGAATGCAATTAGCGGAGTGGCAGGAAGGAACGCAATCAGCAGGCACTTCCTGGGATCCAAGAGAAGGCTGGTTGCCAGGCTCTGCTCATGGGAGCGCTGTGAGCCGGCCCCGGAAACTCATCTCCTACCTGCCCACGTGCTTGGCCCCCCTGGGGGAGCGCTGGGCTAGGGGGGTGCCACCCTGGAATAGGGTGCGCCTGGGACTGCTCCCAGATTCCTCAGGGAGGGCATCAGGGCACGGTCTATCCTTCACTGCTGAGGTTACCACACTGGGGGGGGGGCAAGCTGACCTGCCTCCCCAAAATACACTTGACCTACCTCCTATGACTGCTTTACAAACAGGGAAACTGAGGCCCTGAGAGAGGAAAAGGTCATCTGGAGGGAGAGATGCCCAGGAGTCTTTCTGCCCGCCCTCTGAGTCCTTTTCCAAGTTCAGCTCCTCCCTAAGTGCTTCCCTCCATCCCCCCGCCCCACCCTGGTGCTGGTTCCCTCCCCATGCTGCCCCCAACGGGATCTTTGCGTGGTGGCTCTTTCTCCTGACTCCAGGGCTCTGGTGCCCGTCCCCGAACACCTGCCTTACATTGCACCCCACCCCGAGAGCCCCTCCCAGTGCTGCTGACCACTTAGGACGTGTGTGTCTGTGTCCTTGCCCAATGTCTCTCCAGCTGGGATGCTAGCCGCCGGTGGGCGGGCAGTGGGGCTGTTCGACGCCCCTCGCTGTCCCGTGCTTGTCTAGCCCAGTGTCCGTCACTTAGCATGTGACAGTGTGTCAATGAAAGGATGGCAGACCGTATTATGTTGTAAGCCTCTTTGATTACTTCTTCAAGAGGCCCCCCCATTTCTTTTCTGCCTATATACGAGCATTCATTTCAGCAGAGGTAGGTAAGCAAGGCCATGCGGTGGACCCATGGAGCCGAAGAGGCCCTCGGCTCCAGGCAGCGAAAGACTGAGTCAGGAGCGGGCCGAGACAACGGGAACACAGGGCCATAATTTAATCAAGTCCCTGTCAATCAATCAGTCATTAATTGCCAAGCAAACATTTAGTGAGCCCCTCCCATGTGGTTATCTTTATGTACATAGTTAATCAAATTCCATGAATCCTTCAAAGGCCTGATGCCAGAGCATCCTCTTCCAGGAAGTCCCCCCGGATTGCTCTGGTCCTTTTGACAAGTTCCCTTTCCTTCTTAACCCTACTCCAGTTGGTGCCTTTTGTTCTACCCAGCTCCTTCACTCCAACCCAGGGCTCTTACCTTGAAGGGGGGAGTCATAGCTGAAGGGGCAGGCCAAGACGGCCACCTGGCCCCGAGGGGTGGCCGGCCAGCAGGTGATGTTGTCCCACATCTTGCTGCAGCCTAGGGGGCGGGGGAGGGAAAGGCAGGGGGTGCATGGGTCAGCATGGCCACCAGGTGCCTCCAGCCTCTCTTCCTCCTCCTCCAGGCTCCCACCTCCAGGAGCCTGTGGTCGAGGGGAAGGCACAGCCCCGCCGGGCTGTACAAGCCTGTCCTGACAAGGAGTGGAGAGAAGGCATGACTACACTCCATGCTTCTCAGTGAGGGACAGAGCGCCCCCTGGGGGTGTTTTGAACAGTAGTTGAAGCGGGGGGGATTCCTATTTTGCAGATTGCTGTCTCACTCCTGGATTTGATGGGCAGAACCCAGGGCCGGCAGGGCCCCTGCACAGCGAGGAAATGCAGAGCTTCTGCGAGGCTTTCAAATGAGCGCTGGGGCGTTCGTGTTGGTGACATCCTTTGGCAATGACCACAACCTGGACTCTTACTCCATTTCACACGCAAACCCACGGCACTTCAGGCACGTTTAACGCACACTGTTTTCCCGGCACGCAACCGCTGAGTGGAGGGAGGGAAGACTGAGCGCTGGCGCGCGGGTCAGCGCTTTGGAAGATCGCGTTCCCTGCAGCGAGGCCGCCTGAGCCAGCGACGCAGCCGCTGACGGCAGCCCACAGCTACGGCTCGCCCGTTCCCCGAACCTGCATTTATGGGCACAACCTTCAGACCGTGCCTTCTTATCTTTCAGTGCGATCGGGCCCGGATATGTAGATAGTATCTTCTTATACATGACTTTCCCTTTGATCTTTCTTCGAACATTGTTTTTTTTTTTTTTTTCAAAAGTGCTCATGTGTGCCCTGAATTTCATTTTGTAATGGTAAAGGAGGCATCGGAAATTATAGTTTATAAAACGGAGCTTTGTTGACGATGGGGTGCTGGATATTCTGGGGGTCAGCTGGTTCTTGAGGGGTCTCCATACAGCTCCCGAAGCAATATGGTGCCCTCAGTGGGGCCCAAGTGGGGACTGTGGTGGGGGTGGGGTGGTGGTCGGTCGGGGTTGAGTTCGGAGAAAACCCTGCTCACAGGCTGGGTTCTCCATCACATTCTATCAGCCCGAGGACCTGGCTGGCGAGGGAATCGGGGTCTTTAGGAGCCTGCTTTCATCGGCAGATGCAAATGCCGTGGTTTTGCCTGCTCAGGGTCTGGCTGCCTCTCGGGGACTAGGAGGACTCCTCTGGACCCCTCCCCCGAGGGAGGTTTAATTGTCTCCTTGCAACCCTGCCAGTCCCACGGATTTGCTCAGGAAACCCAACCCTTGAGCCAAAGTCAACGCAGGCTGGGCCAAGCCCAGCCCAGCCCAAGTCCGAAGGTTCACCAGTTCCCAAGCAGGGGGCCTGGGAAGAAAAGGTGGAAGGAAGTCCCCACTTGAGGAAGAGCCTCGGAACTCCGAGCGCCCGAGTGGGCCGGCAGCGGGGCGGGGCACCGTCCAGGCCCGCGGGAGCCCCGTGGTACCTACTATGGAGGGCTGAGAACACCTGGATCCCCGGGGCCGGCCGAGAGCACTGCGGCTTTCCTTAGGGATCCCAGAACTGCTGCCCCGCCCTGTCCTGAGGCCACTGTCACCTCACTGGCTCCCAGCTCCTCCTTTATTCCTGTGCCAGGCTCTCTGGAGGCCACGTAGGGGACATTCAGGCCAGTCAATCCTGCTGGCTGTTCAAGCCCATTAATAACAGCAGCTGACACTTCCGTAGCCTTTGGAAGTGGGAGGCGCCGTTCCACCCTCTTTCCATGAGCCGCTGAGTTAACCCTCCCAGTTTACAGATGAGCTATTGAGGCAGAGGGCAACTGGGTGTGTAACCCTGGGGCGTGTGGTGTCGCCCGTTCACGTGCTTCATGTCCAGCAAACCTCTCACGTTCCTGTTCTGAACCGCTCGCTGCTGATTCCCTGGGAGTTTTTATCTGACAGCGCTGGGCACACCCTGTTTTGCAGGCTGGCTGCTGGGTCAGGCTCCTCCCCACACTTTGGCTCTCTGGGGCTCCAGGTGCGGGAATACATTTGGAGCTGGGTGCCTGGCCCGGAGCTCGGTTTCACCAGAGGCAGCACAGAGAACAGGGACACCAGGACCTGTCCTTGGGGAGGTCACGCTTGGCCTCAAGGAGTCTCAGCCCCAGCAGGTTGGGCTGTGAGCTGTGCAGGACACAGACCAGTGGGCAGGGCGGGGAGCCAGGGAAGAGAGGCCGGTGGGGGCACGTGGCCCGGGAAGCTTCCTGCAGGAGGCAGCAGGGTCTGGAGGCAGAGGAGAGGGCGACACACACAACTCTCAGGCACAAGGGCTGGGCACCTGGAGGGCCTGTTGTCCTGGGCTGGGCCCTGGGAGTACTTTCTGTGTGTCCACCTCACGGAGAGCCCGCAGGTCCCACCGTACGTGTCCCCGGGCCCATTGAGACACAGGGCCCAGGCTGGCTGTGTGTACCCACTGGGGGCCGCCGCCGAAACGGGAAAGAAAGCCCAACCTGGGGCCTGGGGTGGGGGATGGCGAGGCAGAGTGGGGACCCATGCTGGGTCACGCACAGACCTGTGTGCACAGAGGGGGACACGCTGACTGACCGGCACCCCCAGGCACCCAGAGCCACAGACGCACATGCAAACACCCTAATAGGCATGCTTCCACGGATTCGAAAAGACGAGACACACGTAAACGCAGGCACAGAGAGACACACAACTCACAGACACACACGCACAGACATGACGGCATACCACAGATATTCACAATGACACACACACACACACACCCAAAACACGGAGACACGGCATACCAGACTGTGTCCAGGCCACACAGACACACACAAAGACACCCAGAGTCAGACGTGGAGCTACGGACCCCAGAGGCGCAGCCGCAGAACCGGACAGACTCGGGCCAGGAGCACGCACCGGAATGTGCCGGAACACGCACGGAGCCCCACAAGGTCGTGGGCGGGCTCACCGCCCGCTGACCCATATCTGCCCTCCTCTGGATCCCAGGCCGGCTGCCTGGTGACAGGGTGCTTGTTGGCACCTGACAGGCACCCTGTGCCAGCCATGACCTCATCAGGATCACGAGGGCGGCTTGCCTTCGGGGCTGGAGGAATGCTCGGGGTCTGGGGTCTGGGCTTCTCTGAGCATCCATGACCCCGGATCCCACTGCTGGGGCCTGTGAGACCCGTCCACAGCCTGGTCCTGCCGCCCCACCTTGGCAGGCACCCAGGCAATGGGGGTCCCCTTACCCCTCCAACCAGATCTCCATCTCAGGGGCCTGGGAGGCCAGCCTTCTTGAGAGCTGGGGGAGGCAAAGGCTATCGGCGAGGCCACACACACTCTCCTCGGGGGCAGGAGGCAGAGAGCCTGGGCACCAGGGCCAGGGAGGAGGAACAGGGGAGGGTCACATAACTGTCAGCCTCAGGTGGCAGGGGACTGGGGAGCCAGGGAGACGTTAAAGATGTCCCCTGCTCCTGAGCAAGGTGGTCACGGAACTTTAAGCTGGGCCGCAGAGAGGTGGCGTGGGAGGGAGGCCCAGGGCAGGCACAGCCACCCCACGGCCTCCAGCCCTCCCCCTCCCTCTCAGCGAGCCTGGGACCCCACGCCCACATCCCCACTCCCCGGGGCAGTCTGTCTCTGGGCCTCCCGTCCCCCCAGCCTCCGTGCGTCTCCCAGTCCTGCCCACCCTCTGAGTCCGGCTCCGTGGGCACCTTTCAAAGGAACCCTGTGTACTTCCTCATTCCCACCTCAGGACTGCGGGCCGGGTGTGGTGCACCCGGGGGATGTGTGTGGGGTGGGGGGGCGCAGGGTGAAAAGGGGAGGGTGCTGTCATGTGGTCTGATGGTCCTGCTGGGTCTGGGCAGCTGGGCAGCATCGATCTGCAGGGGCCCCTGCACCACTGTTCACCCTGCCAGGCTGGAGCACACCCCCCTTCCCCTCGAGGAGTGGCTGGGCCCCACAGGCTCAGCCTCAGAGTCTGACCTTGACTTGTCTAACCAGCAGGATAACGAGCTGATGGTTCATCTGGCCTGTGGAGGGTGGGCTGGGGTGGGGAGGTCAGTGTGTACAGCTAGGGGCCTGTGGTATGGTGTCACTTCTGGGTGTCATGCTGCCAGAGCCTAGGGTTGGGAGGAAGGACCTCAGTTTCTACCCCTGCCCTGTGGTGAGCATTCGAGACCTCTGCAGGCTAGCTTGGTTCCCCTTCTTGCTCTAGACTGCCAGGACGGCTTTGGACTTCCATGTGGTCCCTCTGGCAGTCAGGCACTGTCACAGAATGTCCCCCGCTCTCCTGCGAGATGCTAAGAGTACAGTGGTTTAGTCCTGGAGTGTGGCATTCTGGGGCCAGGTTCTCTCCATCTCAGCTTGGTCTCAGCTGGAGGCCAAGGAACCTGACCCGGAAGTGCTCCTCCCAGTGAGCTACCCAGCCATCCTCAATGTCACTGGCTCCCACCCCGCAGTGCCCTGGTCCTCCCGTTCTGGGCAGGCTGGTGGCCATGGCCATCATCCCCACTTTTCCTGGAGAAAAGGAGTAGGGGCCCCCAAAGGCACAGTTGGCTGCACTCACTTTTCTGAACCCCAATTTGTATGCTCTCCAAGGTAACAGCTGCAAGCTCCCCAGGACTGGGCTGGGTGCTGGGAACACGGCGGCCTGTTGGTGCCTTGCTTCTCTTTGACTCCCTGACTTCTCCCAGCATCCTCTCCTCATCACCCAGCAGCTCCCCAGTGCTCCCCAGCGCTCCCCCCGCCAACAAATGTGCAACGAATGTGACCTGGACCCGGGCCCTCGGGGGAGGGGGAGCGGGGCTCTGTGGGGGTCTGCGGTGCCTCCCTTCCCCCGGGGGGAAGGAGGGGGCTCACCTGCTGTGTCATTCTCCGCCTCGGCCTCCTCCAGGCACTGCTGGTGCTCTGCCTCCATCATCTGAATGAAGTCGCACAACTCCCAGTGCGGCCTGGACACCCAGCCGCTCTGGGGGCAGAGATAGGGAGGAGACACATCAGCCTCGTCTGTGGCCCACATCTTGCGCACGGGCTCCAGGAGCGTGGGTCAAGCAAGGCCTGACCCTGACCTGCATCTGGCCCAGACTGTGTTCATTGTCCCCACAGCGGTGTCTGCTTTGAGGGCCCTGTCACGGCTTCTTGGTGGCTCCCCCAACAGTGTGGGGGCTATAACAATTTTGTCTCTTTGCAGGTAGCACGACCTGGACGGAGGTGGGAGGGACTCTTCTCGGAGCCCAGAGCTGGCCCAAGGGACTCTGCCATTGTCCAGCTTGGCGGGTGGGCTGGGAGTCCTCTGTCCCTGCCTCAGTCCCTGTGTCCAGGTGGGGCTCAGTGAGTGCTACCTTATTACAGGAGTTAGAGCCAGACCTGGGAGGGATCCAGGGGTTTGGCTGAGTCTTGCAGCCCCTGTCCCCATTCTGGGAGCCTGTGCTCAGTCCCCTGGGTCACCAGCTAGGAAGGAAGGGCACACTAACCCTCTTTGCTCAGACCTCAGCTGCCTCCTTCTTAGCTTTGGAATAATTCAAGTGAATCAGACGCAAGGCGAGGGGCTAGGGAACTAAGAGAAGCCCTTCTAGGTTGGCTCCCCATCCTGCCAGGATCCTCTGCCTCTGGGAAGCGGAGAGAAGAGGAAGCTCAAGCTCCTCCCCTCCCCTCCCCTGTCTCCTAGCTGGGACCAGCCCTGCATGCCAGGGGGACACTGGCACTGGAGCTGACATGTGAGTAGGGGTGATGGATGCCCAGGAACAGCCAGAAAACTGGGGGCCGCTGGGTGGCAAAGGGTGGGTGAAATCCTCTTTGGAGGAACCGCTGGGCTGCTGGCAGCCTCTGCGTGTCTCCTGTGGCTGTTGCCCCCGGCAACTCCTTGTCAGTCTCCTCATCTCTGCCTCCGAAGAGAGTCGCAGTCCCAAACAGGGACTACGGGAGAGACCAGCAAGACTGCTCCAGAATCAGCGATTCTCAGCGTCTCTTCCAACTCGTCCTCCCTGCCCTGGGACAAGGTCTTCACCTCCTTGGGCCTCAGTTTCCCTGCAGGCTAAATGAGCCTGAAATACCTGCCCTGCTGACTCAACGGGTTCTTGTAGTGGCGCTGTGGGGAGCCATAGATTGGAGGGGTTTCCCCATATTTCCTTCCTTTAAGGGGGTCCCCATCTAGCCTGTGGGCACCAAGAGTGTGACTTTGACCACAGCTCGAAGGGAGTCGACCCCACTGAGGGACAAGCGCCCATGTGCCAGTGAGCTAGCTCCCCACTACTGTGGGCGGGGGGGGGGGGCAAGCTGCAGCTGGACAACTCAGTGTCCAAGGGCCACACAGCCGAGTCCCTCCCACCTCAATGGCTCTCTCGTCCCCTGCTGAAGGCTTTGGTGGAGCTTCATTGGCACGGAGGTCCCCAGCTTCCCCAGCTGAGCCCCACAGCTGGCCGAGCTGCGGTCCAGGGGAAAGCCTCCTCGTCCAGGATGTGTTTCAAACTTGCCAGCATCTAGACCTTCCTCGCCCACGTGCCACAGGCCTGGAAGCCACACGGTGACCATGGCTCCCACCTCAGACCATGAACTTTACCTGACCACTAGAGAGCAGAGACATTAGCTGGTACGTCATTTAAAACTTGACATGTCGAAAGTAACACGGATCTGTTATGAAAAGGATGTAGTTATTTGTATAACTGTTTAAAAAGAAAGGATATGAGACTTCAAGGAAACGAGCTGTGGTCCCTCTTTGGGGTCATGTGCTTCCTCTTTTGCCCATCGGGTTATCTAGACTGAAACACTCCAGATGCTCCGCCTGAAGGGATCTGTGGCCGGCTCAGGAATGGGAAGAGGGGCAGCCAGATGGGTCCTGGAGGGGGCCTCTGGAAGAGGAAACTGGGGACTGGCCACCCCAGGGTATGTCCCACCAACTTGCCTGCTCAGAGCCTGCTTCGCCCCAAAGTCCCTCTGCTCAGCCCTATTGTCCATCAGTGGGGTCCATTCTGTCTCCTGGTCCCTCCCCAGCCTCTCCTGCTTCTCCTGCCCATTCTCACCTCTTATCTCCCGCATCATGGATGGTCGTGGGCATCTGTTGTTGCTGCCATCTACCATCCTCCACCCTCCTCTGGTGCCATGTCCTCCTCTCTGTCTAGGAAACCACCTTCCTCCCCACTCCTAGTTCACGAGTTCTAATGACCTCTCTTCTAGGGGGTCAACACGTGACCAGGCGTGAGCCCATCAGAGTATTCCTGTCCATGGTGCCTGGCACATGGCCCACGTCAGGCTCTTCAGAGTGAGGGGGCTCATTCCTGGGACTCTTGCATTAAGCAATTAGGCAAGTGGATTTGTTATTTCCCACCTGACTGGAGACCTCAAGGGATGCAGGGGCTGAAGCTACTGCTACCACCTTGTCGCCACACAATGTGGCGCCACACCAAATAGAACACAGTGACAAAAGCCACACGGCTGATGCCTGAAGAGAGAGATGGAAAAACATTGGGTCTTCTTGACGTGGTCCGAGCCCCTGAAGGCAGCCATGCCTGAAACTGGCCCTGCTTCCAGCAACGTGAGTCAATACCTTTCTTTACAACTCAAGCCCGTTGAGGTTTCTGTCCCTGTCATCAAAAGAGTTTGACCAATAACGTTTCTCTTCCAATTGCTGAGGGTGTCAGAGGATTCCGGGCGACCCCTGCCCTCCAGCAAAGGGGCTGGGGGTATTGGGTCGGCTGCTCTAGCTGTCTCCGTTCGCCCCACCCCAGAAGCACAGTCACGGGGCCCTTCCTGGGGGCAGCTTGGAGAGGGGCATAGGAGCCCCCAGAGTGACCTGGGGTTCTGGGATGTCTCTTAAAAAAGTGAGGGCAGTCTGGGAGATGAGCCCTGACCTCACCACAATGTCGTTGGGTGCTGGGCCACATTTGGAGAAGGGGAGAGGAAACAGAGACCCAAAGAGGGCCGAGGTCACCCAGAAAAGGCACAGTCCCAGAAGGGGCCGAAATCTCTGACCACTAATCTGGGTTGTGTCAATCCTTCTCTACCGCCACGCTTTGGGGCATCTGGTCAACCATTGCCCTTTGGGGTTTGGGGCCAGGGCAGCTCTCTCTAGCCCTTATCACTGAGGAATTCAGACAAACTTTGGACTTCCTCTTCCACTTATTTCCTTATTCTAAACATCCTCATTATCCTTCTGGACTCCAGACACACCAAGCTGGAAAATTCCTAGCCGGATACAGGCAAGCCTGCTGATCCATGGAAGGCTTCCAGGGTAGGATACAGCGGGGGTGTGGACTTCATAGAGAATGGGTAGTAGAGATGGGAGGGCCTTTCGGGATGGGTAGGAGCTGGATAATTAGAGGTAGAGTAAGAATATCCCAGAAAGTAGGAGCTGTGTGTATAGTAGCAGGGAGGTATGAAAATGCTTAATACATTCAAGGTTGCAAGAAGCCTGGTGCGGCTGCAGCAAGGAAGGGGCCCCGGAGGCACCAGGGGACAAGCTGGGAGATACAAATAAGGGCCAGGGCTCATCCGATGCTGCCTGAGCTGGTACAGTCGTTCTCAGCCCCAGCACCTACAGCCCGAGGGATCGTTACATAACGTGTATCCCCATCCTCATTCTCCCGCCTCTGACCTCTGACGGTTCCCATGGCCTGGCAGTCAAAGGCCACACTTCAACACCGCGATCCAAGGCCCTTCCTAATCCTACCCATGCCTGTGTGTCCCAGCTCGCCTCCCGACGTCCCGTGTGGGGAGGAGGAAGCAGGGCTTCCTCCCAAGCCCTCGCTAATTCCTGTGCTGGGCTGAGCTCCAGGAGAGCTTAAAGTCAGCCTGACCTTGCCGTTGGGTTTGAGGCTCGACAGTTCCAGGACATCCTGGGTCCCCAGCGCCTTCTCTCGGATAGGAGTTCCTGAGCCCAAAAGGGACCTCGGCAAGAGTGAGTGAGTCCACAGCACCTCTTCAGTCCTGGTCCTCTGTGTCCCCTGCCACGGTGTTGGCAGGATGTGGAAGGTAACCGACAGGAAGTCTGAGTCTCTGGTTGGGGTCCGGGGTTAACTGAAGTGTGTTAACCCCACCTGCGCAGCTGAGCCCCCTCCTCTCTAGCCCCATTGTGAGGGGCTTGGAAGGAAGCCCTGCCTTCCCCTCTCCACGTGGGGCTCCTGAGATTTGGGGCCCAGGCTGGAGAGGCTGAAGGTGTTGGGAGTTGAAGCTCGTAGATGCTAGGGGCTCAGAAAGACAGGGTGGGCCCAGCTCCCACGCTGTGGGCCATACCCAGTCCCTTCCAGGGAGGCCTGAGACCACGGCAACTGGCCTGGAACCAGAAGCCCTTGGGCCGGAGAACCACGGCAGGAGGAGCCGGGGAAGACAGAAGCAGCGTGCCGGGGTAAGAGGAGTCCTCTCGAGGGGCAGCTGGTCACAGAAGTGTCGAAAATGCAGCAGGCTGGATTAGGTGAGACAGCAGAAAGAACTTCCTGACTGCAAATTACCAAGCACTGGGAGCCACCATGGTTGATCTGTGCTTCCGGAGTTGGTCCAAAGAGGGCTTTTCACTGTTGGGGATGGTTGGGGGAGGCTGGGGTTGGGAAGTTGAGGTTACGGGGCTCAGGAGCCCCTTACCGTCTCCTATCCCATGATTTATTTAAGCTCACCCCGGATGGAAGTAACAGGCAGCAAAGAGTCGAGGGGGAAACTGAGGACCCAGGGAGACTAGAACACAGGACCGTGAGCCAGCTTCCTAGGCTACTACTCCCTTCACTGTGGCTTTTGTGTTCGGGTTGGCAAGGAGATGGAGGTTTGCTGCGGAGGGGGCAGGGCCGAGAGACGGAGCGGGAGGAGAGAGGGTGGGCTGGGCGTGGTGGGGGCCCAGGAAGGTGAGGTAGAGGAATGGAATGGAATGGTAGAGGATGGAATCCAGACGTCATGCAAAGCAGTTGAAATCAGACCTCATCCTCTTGGGAAGGGGCACGAGGGAGACTTTGGCAGGTGGTCGTAGGAATTGTCAGCACTTGATCT